GCAGACAGTTATGGAGCGGGCACACTGGGAGGTTATAATGGTTTTTGTTAAACATGACAGAGCGACACTTCAGGCTCGTTCATGCCACACAGTGCGTATTATTGTGCGTATGACGCATGTGTCTGGTGTGAATGTGGGCTGCAGTGCGTTGTAATAATGCATTGCAGCGCTTGGGGTTTTGTCATCATGTAAAAAAAAAAATTGCAGCATTTTGCAATTATGGTGACGCAAATTGAATTGCATTGTTGTGCGCTGCAAATAATGCAACGTGTCTATATTTTTCCTCGGCGCACAGCAACACAATACTTTTGGTGTGAACTGGGCACATAGACAGCAATGGTATTTGCGGTGTCCTTCCGTTGAGCCTGTGTTGATCATCGCATCCTAACGCACTTGTTGTGAATGAGCCCGTAATTAATTTTGCTTGTGCCTGCAGTTCTTATTTTGGCCAGAGGGGTCCCTGCTCCCTCGTTACATGACCGGCAAATTTGTTCTCATTGGAGATTCTCTTCTCTCCAAATCTGTGTTCAAGGCATGTATGATGTGTTTGCAATTATCCGTGTGCTCGTGTTGTGACATTTAGGCCTCATTCACACAGCTAAGTGTCGGCCTGTACAGATCCGTGTGGCGTGCACGGCCGTATCGGGCTGCTCCCGGGAAGGACAGTCGCTGCGTGTGATTTGTACGCAGCAGCCTGTTCTTCTCTATTAGAGTACGCGGCTGTACGCTCACCCAAGCTGCACATCCGTGCGGGTGCAGGTGTCCGTACTCGTACGCAGACAGGATGGATCTTGTCTGCGTCCGAGCACAGACACCCGCACGGATGTACAGTTTGGGGGAGCGTACGACCGCGTGCTCCCATAGAGAAGAACAGGCTGCTGCGTACAAATCACACGCAGCACCTGTCATTCCACCAGTGCACGCTACACGGATCTGTACGGGCCGACACTTAGCTGTATGAATGAGGCGTTATTCTCGAGATTCCTAAAACAAAAGACAAATCACTAGATTGTAAGCTCTGACGAGCAGGGACCTCCTAACCCTCCTGTATTAAAATTGTATTGCTAACTGTACAGTCTCCCTCCATGTTGTAAGGTGCTGTGCAAACTATTGGCGCTATATAAATCCTGTGTAATAATAATAACCTGTGCACTCTGCTGCTCATCTGCAGACACATAAAACAATTTAAAAAAAAAAAGCCTTGTACATGAACATGAAGGAAACATTGTCCATGGGATATAATGTGTATTATTCTAATTTGTTTCTATATAAATACAATCATTAAAAAATGTAAATTGATGTAACATTGGATTTTACAATGGTACATAGTTACTGCTGTGTGCTTTCTAATAGATCATTGCAAAGTCTTATTAAACTTATGGGGAGGTATTACTTTAATACTATTTTATTATATTTATTATACCATTTTAAAGTTTACAGACATGTACATAACTTGTTCACGTTCAGTTGCGGCCGCTCAGCCTGTAAAAGTAATTGAAAGGCTGAGAGGCTTCACAGCTGTCCACATGTATTTGCACATGGATTGGTTAGGAACAGATGGGCCGCCCTGGACGCAAACAGTCTGCAGTCTACAGCGCCGCTCATCTGTCCCTAGGTGCATGCGATTGTTCCTTGGACAGCGTCAGCCTGTCATTGATTTGTGCGGTGATCTGGGCGGCATATGGCCATCTGAATGAGCCCCAAGTCCCTGCTGCTGCTGGGAGACTGGCCATAACATCTACTCTGCAACATGCGCCGTGGCTCCTGGACCTTGTTGCCTTAGTAACACTGGAGCTCCGGTGAAATGAGACGGGTCCACCAAGTTGGTTGGAAAGGATCAGTAGGTTTATAAAAATGAGCAGCGGGCATTAAATGGATCTGAGCTCAAAAAGCCAAGATTTGCTACATTGTAGCAAACCACTAGAAATGCTACTTGTGCCACGATGGTGATTTCTGCCACATTTTTAATATATAAAGTGACAAACATGATGCAGCAGTCAAAAAACAAAAGCTGAAAAGCATTTAATGCACTGACAAGGGCTTTGCCTGAAGTTCATCCAATAGGCTTATAAAAGGAGGAACACATTGGTAGCTGCAAGTCTTGTATCAACTCAGTGCACATGATGGCTGCTGCCATGTTTAAAGGTGGCCAATGATGGCTGGCATTGCTATGTCTAATGATGGACCAGGATGACTTTCACAACTATATATATAAGGCTGGCCTAAGATGGATGCCATTGCTATGTCTAAGAATGGCCCAGGATGACTTTCACCACCATGTATAAAGCTGACCCAAGATGGCTTCCATTAATATGCATAAGGATGGCTTAAGATGTCTTCTACCACCATACATAAGCTTGGCCCAAGATAGCTACCACTGCAATGTGCAAAAGAGGCCCATGACAGCTGCCAGGATGTCTTCCACCACCATTAATAAGGCTGACCTAAGATTGCTGCCATTGCTATATCTAAGGCTGGCCCATAATGGCTACCACTGCCATATGCAAAGGTGGTCCATGATAGCTGCCAGGATGTCTTCCACCACCATGTATAAAGCTGAGCCAAGATGGCTGCCATTGTTATGTCTAAGGATGGCCCAGGATGTCATCCACCACCATGTATAAGGCTGGCCCAAGATGGCTGCCACTGCCATGTGCAAAGGTGGCCCAAAATAGCTGCCTTTGCCAAGATGTTGGCTACGGTATTCTGTATGGATTTTCCTGCCTTTGGAGAAATCACTTCACTGTTGGGACCCCCATAATTATTCTACCAGATCATGCCAATGAACAGAGGCAGCATTAAAGGTTTCTTCCTTTTCCTTTACAGAAAAAGGCAATGATTGGCAATCAGCGTTGGGACAAAGTCCTCTAGAACCCAAGGTGAACAGGTGTGTCCCTCTCCCCTTTCCCCAATGAGCTGTGAACTACCTAAGCAGCATAGGTTGCAGCCCTTTTAGCCCTCCCCCCCCCTTGTTGAAGCAGCCAAGATGGCCATCAGCAGTAAAAAGCTTCCAAAACTTAAATATACTTGTTGCCGCTACCCTATGCATCCTGTTTGTCTCATACAGCGCCTGAATGTATCACTCCACCTAAATAATGGGCCTTGCAAGGCCACTGTGACACAACCCAATATAAATACTTATAGTACCAACATTCCATTACCTATACAGTAACTTTTACACTTTTGTGACTTTTTGCTCTCTTTACAGTGCGTTGCTCCATCGATGAGATGGCTTGCGTGCCCCTCTAAGACATCCACAGATGTCAACCGTGCTGACGTCACCACCTCTTGGCGAACCCATCTCTGGTTTTATCAAGATAAATCCATCTTTTGTTTCCTAAATGTCCATTGAATTGTGTTCTGGATGCCTCTGTACCAATGTTTCATCAAAAAGCTAGTACTCGCAGGAGTTGTCATGGTTTAAATACCGGATCAGCCGACCCGGAAGAGGTAAAGTGTCCAAGAGCTTCAGACGATTCCGGCCGACCATGGTTCGAACCTTCAGGCGGCACAAGTGAGTGAGCGGCCTGGGGGGCTCTGAAAATGAAGAGAGATCATCAAAGAGGTAAGGAGTTAATATATATATATATATATATACACACACACACACACACACACACACACACACACGTACATAGCATGTCATGATAGCAAAAGAAAAAACTGAACCAAATGTTTTATTTTGGATAGAGTGGAGAGGGATTAGACCCCCTGTCACCCTCCCTATTTGCCCTGGTGAGTCCTCTGGTGACAACCCAAAATTTGGGATTCTCTTTCACTTTCCAGTGGTGACCGTTCTCACTGAAAGTGAATAAAAATCCCAAATGCTGGGTTGTCACCACAACAGGAAGGAATAGATGGGAAATCTTCCAATGTGTAGTTCTGGTGACCCTGCTGACCACCGGGGATTTCCTCTCACTTCCTGTTGTGGTTATCAGACAGGAAGTGAAGGAAACGGGAAAGAGATGCCTGTGCATAACTGTCACTAACACCCCCCCCTTTCCCGCCCCATCATCATCTCAGCCTAGTCAAAGTCACAGCTTTTTAATGATGAAAGGTGGAACTTTTATGAAAAATGATCCCGTTGCTGTTCATTGTAACATTTTGGAAAGTTATCCCCGATAGTTACTGATAGAGCCGACCTAAATACAAAATTGCCGGCTTTGCAAGTCATATTGAATAAAGCCCTCGTTGATTGATCGATAAAATTACCTGATTTATTCTTGATGCACTCCCAATCCGCATAGCTATCCAAATGTTCCTGCAAACGCGAACAGAGCTTCACATTTCCTACATAATCCAGAAGGACGTCAATTATAGGACCGGCCCAGCGGCTGAGCTCCGGGGTGGAAACCATCTCGCAAAACTGAAGAAACAAAAACAGATTGTTGACCAAATATATTTATTTTAGGCACCAGTGATCCACTCAAATCAGTTCCTGTGCCAAATAATTTCTCTACAACAGCCATATACACACAGCAGAGATAGTTTGAGTTAGAAGACAATGAAAGATCAAATCCAGGAAAAAAAAACTTTTTTTTAGAGTTGGATAAAATGGGGTTAGGGTTAGAATCCCAAGAGAGATTTCCCTCACTTCCTGTTCTGCTGAGCTGTAGCCATGGAGGATTAGTACATTGCATGCCTCTAATGGTCCAAACCATAAATGATTACCAAGAGGATTCAAAATGGCATATTCCTAGAACCCCTAGAATGAAGGTGTCCAAAGCCTGAAACGCGTTGGTTGTACTGTCCCGCATTGAATTACGTTATTGGATTCCTCAAAGTTGTAAGCAACTTGACCACTTTTTCTGGTGTTCCTCTCCCACCAACAGCCAAACTTCCCTGCCACACCCGACATACATGTTGTCACCAGGACAGAAGGTAATGAAACCTCAGCAATGGAGATCTAGACCACAAATATAACCTGATGGAGGACCTAAACCTTCCCCAACTTTTATAATAATAAAAAAAGTGTGTTTAAGGTTGCATATTTCTCCTGTGGGGGCAAATCCCTTCACCTTCTGTCTTGGTGACACCTTAGAGAGTTAAAGTCTACACCAAAAAGGTGAATTCAACTTCAAGTGTCAGCTTAACGTCTAAATGACAGATTTTTGGAGGCACAAGTAGCTTTTCACTATGGCAGCCTGCCTAGGGGGCGGCCGTATTTAATTGTGACAACCCATAGGGGCCGATTTATAAATCTTCTGCTCAGTCATACGCTGGGTGATTGCGGTTTGCTTAGCATCCCTGCCACTAGATGGAGTCAAGGAGTATAGGATTTTCCTATACTCGTCCACCACTCCATCCAGTGGGAGGAATGCAATGCAAACCACATTCACCCGGCGTATGACTGAGCAGAAGATTTGTAAATTGGCACCTTATTATCTGCACACGTGCGCCGCAACAGCCATACAAAATAATAGCTGACAACCTTTAGCTACGCTAAACGCACTTCTGAAATGTTTAATCAGTTTTGGTTCATCGAAACCTCTTAAAAACGAGCAGGCCTCCAAAGTTTTGAACCTTTTAAACAGAAGTCCCATTGAAATCAAACTAATCCAAAAAATTGTGTAATACAGAGCAAAATTGCAGAATGGCTTAGAAAGGTCTTGTCAGTCCAGTCGGGTGAGATAGTAGGTACGGGTATATCAGGAAAAGGAATTGGCTCCTAGAAGCCCTAAAAATGGTGTCAGGGAAGATAGAAAGGATGGCACCTGCTGGCACTGGCAGTCAAGATAACGGTGCTCAGGCAATGACAGTAGCAGGTATAAGACGGAAGTGGTCTAAGTTCCTTCCTCAAAATCTCTACCAGGAATACTAAGACAGAAGAGTGGGACCTGGTGGCACTGGCAGTCAAGTGAAGGGTGCTCAGGCCACAGCTGAAGCAGATATAAGCCAGAATTGTCCTAAGTTGCTTCCTCAAAAACTCTACCAGGGAGTCATAGATAGAAGGGTGGCACCTGATGGCACTGGCAGCCAAGCTAAGAAAGTCTGGGCAATGACAGAAGCAGATATTAGGTAGGAATAGCCTACGAAAAACTCTACCAGGAGTACTAAGATGGAAGGGTAGGGCCTGGTGGCACTGGCAGACAATGGAAGGGTGCTTAGGCAACAGCTGAAGCAGATATAAATCAGAATTGGCCTAAGTCACTTCCTCATAAACTCTACGAGGGGTACTAACATGGAAGGGCAGGACCTAATTGCCCTGGAAGGCAAGCTATAGGTGCTCAGGCAACAGCACAAGCAGATATAAGGCAGAATTGGCCTAAGTCGCTTCCTCAAAAACTATAGCACGGGTACTAAGATAGAATGGTATCACTGGTGGCAATGAAAGTCCAGCTAAGGGTGCCCAGGCAATGACAGAAGGCTGAAGTGGCCTGGGTCACTTCCTTTAAAAATTCTCCCAGAAGTACTAACATAGAAGGTGGGACCCGGTGGAACAGGAAGTCAAGCTAAGAGTGGCTAAGCAATGACAAAAGCAGATATAAGATGGAAGCAGCCTGAGTTGCTTCCCCAAAAACTGTACCAGGGATAGTGAGTAGACATGTGCGATTCGTTTCGTTACGAATCGAAATTCATATGAATTTTCCTGAAATTCAAAATTTCGGAGCATCCGAAATCCAAATGGCAGTTTCCGAATTATATCCGAAATACGAAATTCCGTTAACGAATTTCGGATCCGAATTTCTTTGAAACAGGAACTAATAATATTACCCCTGTAAATGAGGTTGAACAACATGACAAGATTTTTTTTTTAATCCGAGATCCGGATCCGCTGCTTCTGATGCATTACAATACCCAGTTACACACACAGGCAGGAAATACGACATTCCGTTGATGTATTTTCGTTCCGTTACGAACATTCGTTATATTAAAGTTAAGAAGCAAAGTACATTTATATTGGAGTTGATGGTAGTTTTTTTTTTAAATACGAAATTCGGACACGGAATCCGTTAACGGAATTCGTATTAAGTTTTGGTTGACCAATCAGAGGTTCTCTTCTGCTGCTGAGAGTTGCATTACAAATACAGGCAGGAAATGCGAAATTCCGTTGACGTATTTTCGTTCCATTACGAACATTCGTTATATTGAAGGTAAAAAGCAAAGTACATTTATATTGGAGTTGATGGTAGTTTTTTTTTTTATACGAAATACGAAATTTGGATACGGAATTCGTATTTCGGATAAAAAAAACAACTACCACTCCAATATTAACAAAGGTATTTTTGCTTTTTAACTTCATCATAACGAATGTTCGTAAAGTTACGAAAATATAACCGTCACTAATGAAAATTCGTATTTCGTACGAATCCGAATTGAGTTCAGCTACGAATTACGAAATAACGGTTGTTCCGAAACGAAACGAAACAGAACACATTTTTTGACGGCGCACAAGTCTAATAGTGAGACAGAAGGGTGTCACCGGATAGCACTGGAAGTCACGCTAAGGGTTCTCAGGCTATGACAGAAGGCAGAAGTGGCCTGAGTCACTTCCTCAAAATGTCTTCCAGGTTTGCAAAGATAGAAGGGTGGGACCCGGTGGCACTGGCAGTCAAGCTAAGGGTGCTAGGGGACCACAGAAGCAGATATAAGACAGAAGTAGTCTGAGCTGTGTGAGAATCCAATCTGTCCCCAAAAAATATTGACATTTGGTTTTGGCTCGGGACATCTGCATGTAAAAAATTCAGTCCTAACCGAACAAAATGTCCAAATATCATGATCAACTTACTTCTCTTCTTACTATCTTGCTAGGCTCGGATCATGGACTTCAAAAGCACTGGGCACCATTATATCTAAATTCTCACCTATACTTTCACTGAAATGCAGTATAATGCTGAGTACAAACACCAGTAAAAAGAAAGAAAAATTTGTACCTGAACAATTTTGGGCTGTTTATTGTTTTGGGGGCCATCGTCTCGGTGCCTCCGGTCCTCAATAGGCGGGTGCGGCCGGTTTCCGTATTCACATTGAAAACAGGAGTCGGCATCACAGCCAAGATCCATGAGATACTTCAACAAGCTGAGATACTTCATTGAGAACATGATGGTGGCCGGGAAGGAGGTGGGGTGGCTGGCGATGTAGGCGTTGATATTGGCGCCGTGATCCAGGAGCATCTTTATGGTGTTCAGGCAGCCGTGCCGGATGGAGATGAGCAGAGGGTTGATGATGTCCACATTGGGATTAGCGCCAGCTTCTAGAAGCAGTCTCGCGGCGTAAATGTTGTTGTTCATGACGGCGAAGTAAAGTGCAGTGCTGCGCTTGTCCTCGTACAGTCTGGCACGATCAAAGGAGAGCGTGAAGTTGACGTCATAGCCGGCATTAATCAGTTCCTCCAAGATGTCGTCGTTATTGCGTTCGGCCGCAATGTGGAGGGGGCTTATTCCACTCCTTTTCACCCTCGTACGGCTCGTCACCGGGATAAGCATCGACACAATCCTATGGGAAATAGACAGCATGTGGAATTTAATGGGTTGGGAGCCAAACCCCTATAAAACACACTTATTTCACCTTCCCCACTGACTCAAATTCAGCTGGAAATTTTCACTAATCTTTGGGAAAATGATGACTCTCAATCTTGTTCATCCCTTACAGTGATGTCGTCACTGGGTGCTCCTCTATGCAATGCAGGCAAATCATGGCTAGTGGAAGGAGCTTCATGAAAACATCCTCTCAAGGACCCTCAGCTCTGATGCAAGCAGTGGGCTGGCTCTTGGGAGGAGTTATGCAAATATCAAAAATGCCTCCATGGGTAAATGTCAGTCTGGAGGAGTGGGCATTTCTAGGCTGACAGTAAGGGGTGGGACAGAGACAGTCAGGCTGGGGAGAAAAGCACTAGATAATGCTGGACATCCTCCAGCCAGAAAATGAGGCGGGGCTCTATCTGACTTGCTGCAGCGTCTAATGCACTGTGTGAGAAGCTCCCAGTGTGCAGTGAAATCAGAGTAAGCAATTTCAGTCAAGAAGAGGAGCCGGAAACAACTGTGCAAGACTGAAGGAAAGTCTGGAGTTCATGTTGGCAAGTGGAGTCTGGTGGCAGCCTCTGTCCGAGGAGTGGGGGAATTGCTACGTCATGTCCCCATGTGATCCTATAACCGCTAAGTCATTTTCCCATTTTCTTCCATGTAAACAGAGTGGACACATGAGCACTGTTTACTACTGGCAGTAGAGGGAGCCCAGTTAAGGACTAATGTGTCCTCTGCCATGGACACGGGGAGCCATTTTGGGAGATCCTGTGCTTAGTTCTGATATTGTGGCCAATTTGGATGCCGACATGCTATAAATAGCACAATCTATATCACAAAGGGGACCCCACTGTGGGAAGTGTAACCAGGGAGGGACTGGATCCCGTTTGATAGTGACAGTTAGGCTCCTTCAGCTGGATGCATGTTAAACTCCTGAGAAGACTAGCTGGTCATGGTGTGGGATGCTTCATGAGAAGAATGGACTACCAACTGCCCCTCCAGAAGAGATGCCCTGGGAAAACTAGGTGGTCATGGTGCAGGATGCTGCACGAGAAGGGTAGACTACCACCGGCCCCTCTAGAAGAGATGTCCTGGGAAGACTAGGTGGTCATGGTGCGGGATGCTACAAGAGAAGGGTAGACTACCACCGGCCCCTCTAGAAGAGATGTCCTGGGAAGACTAGGTGGTCATGATGCAGGATTCTACAAGAGAAGGGTAGACTACCACCGGCCCCTCTAGAAGAGTTGTTCTGGGAAGACTACGTGGTCATGGTGCGGGATGCTACAAGAGAAGGGTAGACTACCACCGGCCTCTCTAGAAGAGATGTCCTGGGAAGACTAGGTGGTCGAGGTGCTACAAGAGAAGGGTAGACTACCAGCAGCCCCTCCAGAAGAGATGTCCTTGGAAGACTAGGTGGTCATGGTGCGGGATACTACAGAAGAAGGATGGACTACCAGCAGCCCCTCCAGAAGAGATGTCCTTGGAAGACTAGGTAGTCATGGTGCGGGATACTACAGAAGAAGGATGGACTACCAGCAGCCCCTCCAGAAGAGATGTCCTGGGAAGACTAGGTGGTCGAGGTGCAGGATGCTACAAGAGAAAGGTAGACTACCACCGGCCCCTCTAGAAGAGATGTCCTGGGAAGACTAGGTGGTCATGGTGCAGGATGCTACAAGAGAAGGGTAGACTACCAGTGGCCGATCCAGAAGTGATGTCCTGGGAAGACTAGGTGGTCATGGTGCAGGATGCTACAGAAGAAGGATAGACTGCCAGCGGCCCCTCCAGAAGTGATGTGCTGTCATTTAGTGGGGTGTCTGCTGCAAAGAGAATGAACCAATCTCTTAGGAGCGTAAGGAAGGCAAGTTTAATGTAGTCTGTATCCTTGTCCAGAACTCATATCCATCATTCATTGTCCCTTATTGTATAGAAGTGAACTTGAAGAACATTAGGATGTCACTGTATTTGACGGATTATTTGACAAAAGCTCTCCTAAAGGAACAGTTGTGTTGTCTTGTTCCCTTGATACCTCGGCTACAAAGTAAGCTCCCTCCACATTGACCTTTAAGGAACCTGCATAGTTCCAACTATTGAGAAACTACAAGACCCATCATCCTAGCTGACTGTTCCTCCCCAGCTGGAGGTTATCAGTTTGCCCCAGGCCGATAGAGATGCAGATTGACGTTCTGAAGTGCCTGAGATTCCTGAGCGGTGACATCGGCCCCCCCAGTGCAGGGGTTGCTGTTAGTGTTTCGAGTGCCAGATACATTACTCATTATTTGTAAGATCTTCAAGACCTGTCAGCCTAATCTCTCCCCCCTGAGCTTTTAAAACTCAGAGGGTGGGGGTGTTTTGTGAAGGCTGAGATGACGGAGGAAAGAACACAGGAGTGAAGGGAAAGTTGGGGCACTTACCCATCATTATCCCGCTTCTTGGAGGCGATGTGGATGGGTAAAAATCCGTCCTTGTTTGGTTTATTGGCGTCCGTCCCTTGCGACAGGAGGAACTCGACGATATGGTTATGCCCGTTCTTACAGGCCTCGAACAGGGCGCTGGCATTGTCATTCGCTTGGGTATTAATGTCGGCTCCTGTAAAAGGAACAGTTCACCGTTGAGTAGACATGGGCATTAGAGGGAACTAAGGATCATAGGAAAGAAATACATCTTAGTAACAAGAGATACAATGTAACAATTCTAAAGAACAGTTGCAATGTACTGTGGGGGAGGCGTGGCCACAGATAATATAGATAACATGGCCAGCTTAGATAAGCCAAACACAATACAGTGCTTCAATGGAAGAATCGTATTTGCTCGCTCCTCCAGCTGCTGTAAAACTACAAGTCCCATGAGGCATTGCAAGACTCTGGCAGCCACAGGCGTGATACCCGGAGGCAAAATCATGATGGGATTTAAAGTTTCAGCACAGCTGGAGTACCAAGGTTGGCTACACGTGGGTTAAAGCATAACTCGTTTAGTTTCTGATGGCATTGGGAAGAGTGAGACCCTCTGAAAACATTTTATTACTGTTTTTGTAGCCATTGTGGAAATTGTCTAATTTTCACGCATTTTTGGTGTTGTCACAGAGACAGGAAGTGAACAAAGTCAGTCTGACAGGAGCCCAGACACTAATAAAAAAAAATGTTTTTAAAGTAAAGTGAGGAAAGGTGAGAGCCACAGTCATGTCTTTATTGCTGTTGGGGAGATCACTTCCTGTGTGGTCACCAGAACAGGAAGTGATGGGGGATTTTCCCAAAAAGTGCAAGACGGCAATAACAAAAAGCCTGAGCCTTTCTGAGGTGTGATCACATGTGATGTGGTGAGTGGCACCTACCGCATTTCACGATGTAACGTAACGCGTCCAGCTGCCCGCTCTGTGCCGCTACAAACAGCGGAGTGATGCCATAGCAGTTCTTGGCTTCGATCTTTGCCCCTCCTTTAACCAGGATGTCTATGATGTCCAGAGCGTTCTGGGACACGGCCTCGTGAAGCGCCGTCCAGCCCTGGTTACACCTGTGGTTGACGTCGGCCCTGAAGGCCACCAGAATCCGAACTGCTTCGGTGTTCTTCCGTTCAGAGGCTGTTCAGAGAATAAATTGGTAGCATGTGAGCTGACAATCAGATATCTTACATGGCTCTGCTGCAACCTGCTCTACTCATGTCACTGCAAAGGAAATGCTTGTCCCGTTTTTTAAAGGTAAACTTCTGGAGGGGCCATTTTTTTTAAAAAGAGCTGCCAAAAATGTTGTGATGGCTGCCTCTAGGATTCTGCACCACTTACTACTGACCCCTGAACCCTGCGTTACTTACTACTGACCCCTGAACCCTGCGTTACTTACTACTGACCCCTGAACCCTGCATTACTTACTACTGACCCCTGAACCCTGCGTTACTTACTACTGACCCCTGAACTCCACATCACTTACTACTGACCCCTGAACCCTGCGTTACATACTACTGACCCCTGAACCCTGCGTTACTTACTACTGACCCCTGAACTCTGCATCACTTACTACTGACCCCTGAACCCTGCATTACTTACTACTGACCCCTGAACCCTGCGTTACTTACTACTGACCCCTGAAACCTGCGTTACTTACTACTGACCCCTGAACTCCACATCACTTACTACTGACCCCTGAACCCTGCGTTACTTACTACTGACCCCTGAACACTGCCTTACTTACTACTGACCCCTGAACTCTGCATCACTTTACTACTGACCCCTGAACCCTGCGTTACTTACTACTGACCCCTGAACTGTTACTTGCTACTGTCCACTACTCATGTACTCCATGTATTACCTTCTGATGACCCCTGTACTCATTGTGTTACCTACTGATGACCCCTGTACTCCATGTGTTACCTACCGATGACCCCTGTACTCCATGTGTTACCTACTGATGACCCCTGTACTCCCGGCATTACCTACTCATGACCCCTGTACTCCATGCATTACCTACTCATGACCCCCGTACTCCATGCGTTTCTTGCTCCTGACCTCTTTATTTCATATCTTCTCCTGACCCCAGCACTCTGTATGTTGCATACTCATAATTTCCTGCTCTGCTCCATGCACTCTTAAACCCTGTGTTCTGTGTTACACACTCCTGACCCCTGCACTCTGTGTGTTGCACGTTCTTGACCCTAGATTAGGTTCAGGGTTTATTTAACAATGCATCGTCAGCCGTAACCGACCACACATGATTCGCTGCATGCCACATTATTTCATTCCTTATGGTGTCTTTATTTCTTCGATGTCTGCTTCCTCTTCCAGAAGTCTGTGACTAATTGTTTCAGGGCATGCAAAAATGGGGGATTGATTATGTGGGTGTGTCTACAAATGGGGGTGTAGTTTGGTGGATGTGGTCCGTAGGGTGTCCCCAGATTTCATTAGTGAGAACCCCTTTACTTTATACAAACCCCTTACCTTTATACAGTGGGGTCTCCCTCGCCTTGTTCACAATATCCGGCTCCGCTCCATACTCCAGCAAGTAACGCATGCATTCCAAGTGCCCCTTTAAGGCAGCAAGATAGAGCGCTGTTTCCTCATTCAGAGTGCGCTGGTCGATGGTTGTAGGGTATGCTGAGTGAACAATTAGTAAATATGTTATCATATAGTTTAGGTTTGTTTCCTTTTATTAAAAGAAATCTTTATTTAAATTTTGAAACATTTTTTTCTACTTTTTTCACTGATTTTCTATTCTTCTCAGTTCCACGGAAGTACCAAGCAGAATAGCCGAGCCGAATGCCATTCGGTGGCATTCGGCTATTCACTCACTGCCGTTCTGCCCCTATGAGAATAGGCCAAACGGCCCGGTTGAGGTGAACTCCTTCTTCACTTCGGGTCGGCCGAACATGCTGAGCATTAGAAATGTGCACCGGCAAAAAATTTGTTTTGTTTCGGATTTTGCGTTATTTTGTTTTTCGGGATTCGGGTCCGAAAGTCAATTCGTTTCGGGATTCAGACGAAATTCGTTAGCGGTAATCTGTACAGGATTTGGTTTCGTTTTCGTTCGTTGCAGCAAAGTGACATTTGAGGGGAAAAAAATGTTTTTCCTTCTAAAATGTTGCTTTGCTGCAACGAAATTTTGTCCAACAAAACGAAATTTCATACAGACTACCGCTAACGAATTTCGGAATCGGAAATTCGGAGTCGTTTGCATTCGTTATATCTGTAATTCGGATACATACGAATCTCCGAATTTTCAAAATTTCGTCCCAATTTCCATTCGGAAAGTAACGAATCGCACATGTCTACTGAGCATGGTCGGCTGAACCGTAGCCAGCCGAAGCAAGCCGATGTACGTTCGGCTCACTTCACTTCGGGTGGGTTATTCACTCAGCAGCTTTGTGAATAACCCTCTATGTTTTACTACGTCCCATAATAGTTGAAGAACATTCCTCGAGAAGAGAACATTCAATTTTGCCCAATTCTCACAGCCATGGCAGCCATCAGGGGGGGTACGGCCGGTACTCATGTAAGGGGCCCGGGCAGCCTGGGGGGCCCGCCCAGGTCCCTTACATGACTATCGGCCGACGGTGAAGGGCGCGGAGGCCTGGCCCTAGCAGCGCAGGGCCCCAGCATTGCCATTCCAGCGGCTTTGAGACAAGCTAGGGCCCCATCAGCGACGCTGCTCGTCTGATGTCGGACTGGCCGGAAGTGACGTCACGTTAGTGACGTGACGTCACTTCTGGCAGGTCCGGCGGCAGACAAGGCCATGTGTGCAGGTAAGAGGAGCTAGGAAGGAAGGAAGGAAAGGAGGGAGGGGATGGATGCAGCTCTGACCCCTTCAGAGCCCACTATAGACAGTCTCAGATGGGCTGTGCAGCATCTATGGTGGGCTCTGCAGGGTCACTCTCAGGTGGGTCCTCTGTCCAGCGCGTCACTAAGCCCTGAGTCCAGCGCGTCACTAAGCCCTGCGTCCAGCGCGTCACTAAGCCCTGCGTCCAGCGGCAAGGGGGGGGTGGGGCCCGGCCTAAAGCCGTGTAAGGGGCCACAAAATTTCTGATGGCTGCCCTGCTCACAGCAGCTGGTTTATTCTTACAGAACAGATCTACATGCAGTTTTGCTGGACGAATAGCTATGCAAAGTTTTTTCTACAATGTTATAAATGAATAATTAACATTAACGATACATGATTGTTAGGACTGTGAGGTGCTACAGACCTTTCTGTAAAATCTTCAGGCAGCCCAAGGATCCATAATATGCCGTCTCATGCAGGGGAATCCATCCATCTTTGTTGGGCTGGTTAAGCTTTTTCCCGGATTTTATGGCATTGCTCAGGCCCTCCTCATCTCCTTTCCTGATCAGCTCCTCGATGGGGTTCAGTTCTCTGTCGGAGACAATTAAAGATCCTCAGACAAAATTTCTACATAAAAGTATCGAATTTGGTTGTTATGGTTAATGAGGAAATTTAGTAATTGCCGAATTAGAGTGGGGTTAAGGTGGATTTTTGTTCCCTCCCTCCTCCCCCCGGACCTCTGCCAGAAACAGCAAGGAAAAGCAAAAAGAGATGGCGGCAAAACTGGAGGATCATTGACGTGTATGGACCCCTCTCAAACAAATAAAATGCGGGAAAGTATTGCCCCAAATACAGCAATACGGCAGCCTCCAAATGCAGCAATGGCAGCCTCCAAAACGCAGCAATGGCAGCCTCCAAAACGCAGCAATGGCAGCCCCCTAAATACAGCAATGGCAGACTCCCAGATAGAGCAATGGCAGTCCCCCAAATATTGCAATGGCAGCCCCCCAAATACAGCAATGGCAGCCTCCCCAATACAGCAGTGGCAGCCTCCCAATCAGCAATGGCAGCCTCCAAATGCAGCAATGGCAGCCTCCAAAACGCAGCACTGACAGCCCCCTAAATACAGCAATGGCAGCCCCCCAAATACAACAATGGCAGCCCTCCAAATACAGCAATGGCAGCCCCTCAAATGCAGACCCTAAATAAAGCAATGGCAACTAGGGTTGCCACCTGTCCAGGATTCACCTGGACAGTCCGGGTTTTGAATGCTGTGTTCGGGTTTCATGGCAGCAGAAACCCGGACACAAGATATCAAGCAGATAGGGGCAACCAAAATTAAGATAGGGGCTACTGGCCCCCCCACTGAAAATAATCTCAACTGTGATATTTACATATGACAGGGTGGCACTATTTACATATGAATAAGCCATGTCTCATTCTCCCAAAAAAATGTTTGTGTGTCGCTAGAGTGTTCGGATTTCACATGAAGAAAAGGTGGCAACCCTAATGGCAACCCCCCCCCAAAAAAAAAAAAAACAATGGCAGACGCCCAAGATACAGCAAGATACAGAAATGGTAGAACCCCAAATACGGCACTGACATCCCCACAGCAACAGGTTTCTTTTTAAAAGGCCAAAATCCTTTGTTTTATGCTTGAAGGGAACAATGAGTCAGACTCGGGATGGCGGGGAGCCAAATTTATGCTTTTTAGGTGCCTGGAGAGATGACACCACAGAAAATTGCTCAATTCCTGACAAATGAAACTCTTTTTTTTTCTTTGCTTTGTAAACATTTGTGTCCGGATCCCCCCGAAGTCCGCGCTCTCTTTCTGGGAGAAGTCGTAGCGTTTCCTGGTAACTTAATGCGCGGCTATTAGGCGGCTCAAATCCACATGGAGCACACAAATATTCCACAGACATAAATACCGAAGAAAAGATGATTTAATTGCCCGAGTTAATTGCTCTTTGTGTTGTGGAGTCCTGAGCAGCGTTGCGGCCAAGACAAACATGGACGTTAAGTCGACACAGATGCTCCAGGCGTAGCTTTCACATCAATAACTGAGCGGACACTGAAAGGTCCATACAGGCAAGGTGTATAGGGAGCCTCAGATATTCTACATTCTATCATATGCTGGGGGGGGGGGGGGGG